CAGTAATCCAAACTAGCAAATATTCTGAGACAGTATGTATAAAAGGTGCAGTACATTTACAGTAAAGTACGCCAATTAAGCAAATAAGTCCTTGTCGTTCACACTTGTGGTCATTTGCTGCTTTTCAGGGCTGGGCACAATGATGCTGCAGTCTGTGCAGTGAAACGAACCGATTGGTATTGAACTGTTTACCATCTCCTGTACATGGTGCACCGAACCACGAATCATTCAAACAGCTACGTATATAACCATGGGCCCAGAATCTGAAACCTGAAGTATTAATTATTAAATTTAATTTTTCACCTTGTGCTAAGTTTCAATCACCTACATAGCTGGTCGTAACGGAAGCGAAGCTCACGGTAAACAGCACAGTTTCTTCCAGACCTAGACTATGCCTATGACACTGACTGCAACACTGACGACTTTCATTCGCGAGCTAAAGCAATGTGCGCAACTGCGGCGAAAGTGAGCCTCCAGCTTAACCGTACGAAGAGAAGGTGATGAAGAATATGAATGGAACAAGGGAATGATAATCATGCTACTGAAGATGCATTGTTGAAGAAGTCTCGGTGCTGTCATCTTCAGCGATAATAACTGTGAAAAAGATCTAAAGAGAAGGATTGCACTGGCGTTCACCTTAAAGAGGTTTTAGTAAATCTCGGTTAGGAGGCGACTTGCAGTCTCAACCAAGATCCAGCATTACCTCGTTTCCGTCAGATCGATTTTCTGTAAGCATCGGAAACAATGGTACTTGCAAAGATAAACGATCTCCGACTAAACAGCCTCACATGAAGTTGGTTGGGACACGTGTTGAAAATCAAGTTGTACGGCTGCATGGACAGCGGCCATGTCTTGGAGTTAACTGACCTCATAGATATCTCAGAGTCGCACAGCATCAGAAACTTGGTATAATTAAATCTTCCGCAAGAAACCAAGCCGAACCGACCAAGTCTCAGCAGTTCATCCGACGCTGACGTGGGAGTCGAAACATGGCCGACAAAAGACCAATAGCCAGCACATCATTTGGCAATGAAAACTGAACGGAGCTCTGATGTCAGTGAGGAGTCTTTTACATCGTCGACGCGGTGAAAGGCTCTTAGTATCAAAATACGAAATGCTGAGGTGACCGGACATAACACATTTTATGCATCCTGCTGTTTTGCAAAACGACAACGATGACGATCTCATAGCAAAGCAAAACATGAGGTTGACCAAGGCAAATTGCGCCCGCGGAATGCATGTACGTATCAAACAGCACGGCCATGCGTCGTGTACAGTCAGGCATGGCCATACCTAGCACCATGCTGCATCCACTTCTCATTGGGTGAATTTTTTTCACGTGAATTCCCGGCTAATAGGGAATGCTTTAAAATCTTAAATTTTAATCCAGAATCTCTAAAGAGCAGATTGACTCCTACATCAACTAGTTTCCTTAAAGCAGAGCCAGAATACGAGACAAGTTAATCGCTCGGTGACGGCACCGTTAGATAAACACTTTATAAACCTCTCGCCTTAGAATTCTCGCATGGCAGCTGCTAAACTCATTTGACTACTGAAATACAACCCTTCGCTAAATGAGACAATTATTCATCAGATGCCGATCAATTTATTTGCCGCGGCAAGGCTTCATCTTAGCAGTAAAGGTTTGTATTGCTTCAGAGACAATGTGGTTAATGAAACCATTCAAGGTTGTACTACTATTTGAGTCGATTTGATGTTCCGACTTTTTCAGCCAACTTGTGACACCGTTAGAACCAATAGCGTTCCTCGCCACCAAACTGGGGCATATCAGCGAGTGGTTATCGTAAACGGAGGTCACTTGTGAATGGTTATAATTTGTTACGCACGCACGCCATGGTTATCTCAACGATACCGTACACCAGGTACGTTTTCGTCTTTGCTTGTCGTGAAGGTTTCAGGCGGCTATCAAAGAATCAATAGGTCCGCGAATGTCTTTGTAACGAGTCTGTAAGCAATCCGATTCTTTTGGATATCGAAGCGGTGTAGGCAGCGAATACATGTCACTATTCGCAACGGCATGACACTATTTGCTGGCCATTTGAATCTTTTTGGATGCAAATTTTTATGAAATTTCCTTGCAGGTGAGAACGATTACCATGAAACAGGGTCGGCAGAAATTGCGATATGATATACATTCCAAACTAAGAATTAGTCGATTACTTTGATTATTTTTACTGCAAAATATGTAAATTCACAGTTTATAAAATTAGTTTTATCTAGCACAAGGCTTGATAAGCAGAACCAAATGGTCAATTCATATTAATAAATACTGAAGTTTGCGATAAGACCAAAGCTAATACGGTGAAGGTTAAAATTTGCAAGCGTCTATGAAGAAATGGCTCACCGTCGGCTCACAGGATCCGCTGTTTGATGTGCATAATGTACTTAGAGTCTGCACGATGACATCTAGCGAATATTCAGCTCAACGGTCGAGATGATGACGAGCATGAGTCATCTGCACAATGGATAATCCCAACAAGAAGAATCTGAAATTTATTGCATGACACTGAACTGACTAGACTTCACGCCAAATGCAGCTGAACCTTCTGCTGCACCTTCTGGCTGCAACAAGAGCTTCGACAAGCAGTTACTTTTTTTTGATACTCCTAAATTACATGAAATAGAATTAGCTATATTTCTGTCATTCATGATCTGTCTACAAAATAATTTGTTAAAATAGTAAATATATATCGTCAGATAAACGGCAAGGTCTAGCCCTGCAATTAAGGCACACACAGTGGTTATAAACAGGTGCGCTAAAAAATAA